TTGTATCGCCAATAGAGCAAGAGAAAAAACGTCCTACTCAAATTATATAGAATGTGCTGCCCACTTGCCGAACCTTAAAAGTTGCTACAATCTAAGTTTGGTGGTGATCAATTGAACTAAATGAATTAATTATTCACTTAGTTAATTCAATTTAAACACGTTTATCTAAGCTTGAAAAATTTTAGGAGCGTATAGTAATCACTTTCAAGTCTGCTTCCTGGAACTAACCAATGAAACAAGAGGGCACAGAGGGCCCTGGATCGCGCACCTGAGAATTAGGTCAAAATGTCAAATTTGAAAGCAAGGGACTGCTAAATCTGAAAACAATTGTACACTGTTACCAAGGAAATTTTTGTGTAAAAATATTTCAAAATAAGTCTGGCAGTCATTTTATTAAACAGTTCAGCCTTTCACTAAGCGAGAAGTGAGCTAATAAACAGATGATAGAAAAAGAGAGGGAAAACAAACATTTGACCTGGCTAGGGATTGACTGTTGACCTCGATCCCCTGGGGTGGGGCAACTTGGACCCTAAGGGTTTTATTTCAACAAACATGGTAGACATACACTAGAACTTGTTTCATGCCAAATATCTAAACTTTAGGTCTTAAGGATTTTCACAAGAAGATTTTTTTAGGTTTTTACTATATACATACATTAAAAGGGAAATCAATGCCACCTGGACAGGGTCAATTTTGAACAAACTTGGTAGACAGACATCTATTAGAAGATGTTTTATGCCAAATATCTAAGCTCTACCTTTTTTAGTTTTCCACAAAATTTTTAAGTTTTTACTATATACATATAAGGAAAATCAATAACCATTGGGGCCGGGCCAATTTTGACCCTATGGGGTTTTATTTGAACAAACTTAGTAGACATCCACTAGAAGATGTTTCATGCCAAATATCTAAGCTTTTGCTCTTTTTTTTTTACAAGAAGATTTTTTAAGATTTTTTTTGTAAAAAAATCTTTTTGTGCAGTTTCAACAAATTAGGCTCTGTGGTTTAAGAGGAAGAAATTGTTGACACACACATGGATTCACGCAAAGGCAAAGACGAATGACGATGGATAACCATGTTAATGGGAACTTGAAAATCAAACCTGTATATTAATTTCTAAACCAAACTAAACTAAACTTCTTGTTCTACATTTGTTAGCTTTAATAATCAACAAAAACATAGTTGAAATAACTGTACAATTTCTTTATTTACAAATATTTGATATAAAATATAAACAACAACTTATAAACTATGTCTTTAAAATCTTTATCAAAACAACTAATTGCATATCACACACAACAATAAACTATTTTAAAATATTAACTGCTGCTAAATTCAACATATCAATTTCCAAAACAATGCAGTCTTATTAAAGAAAATTACCCCCCCCCCCCAAGGACTCTTGTCTGTATGTGTAAAACAAGTTTAGATTAAACATATAAATTCATTTTAGCTCGATTGCAAAACAAGTTCTTGCATCTTATGTTAATCACTTTCAAGTCTGCTTCCTGGAACTAACCAGTAATGGTGTCATATGAGGAAACATGATCGTGACCCGAGTAGGGCTCAAACCCATGATCTCTGGGCTGAGGGACAGACACCTTAACCACTGCTCTCCTTAAAGGGACTCCAATGAGGTTTTTTGACATGATTGGACTGAAAATATTTTTTTCCAGATAAATGTACCATTGGATGTAGGTTTAGACCATTAATATATGTGCAAAATTTCAGATCATTCGGGCACTTTGTTTTCCCAGAATAATTATTCAAATTGAAAAAAATGAAAAGTGTTTAAACACTTTTCACTCAAATCGGGCTTATGCAAGCATAATAATATGATTTTCAATTTATTTCAAAGTATATTTCTTAACTATCTTTGTATATACTTCTGTTTTAAGTGCCCCAGCTCATTTATGTAAAAAATTGTAATTTTATATTTTTAGGCTTTTAAACCCTTTAAAATAAGATTAAATATCATACTTCAGAGATGACCAAAGAGGTTAAGTTATGATTTGTCAATCATCTATTTAGAAATATCATCAAATTAACATGTGTATCTATTCATACTAAAACATGAAATGTATGTGAAAAAATTATGGACAAATCCGTCAAATTACCACCAACTTTAACACATCTGATGACTGTAAGCCATATTTTGTTTAAAAACATCATGACCATGACCTATTGCCATCAGCATTGATAGGAATTTAAAACTTTTACGCCATTACTTTGGGACAAAATTACGTGGTTGTCTGCCTTGACCTCCTAACCAATGTCATAATCTGTATGTGTAAATGTAGGCTAACACTTTCCCTATTTATAAGTGAGACAAGCTTTTTCATGAACTTTGACCTAATGACCTGTATCTACAAGTCAACATTAACAACATCATCAAAATCTGAGGTTCACATTTCAAAGGATTCTCATATTGGAATAGGTTACTGACTGGTGGATATACAGACATAACTTACCAACCAATACAATGTACATGTATCAAAAAATATTTAAAAATCAGATTCAGCTATTTATGAGTTGAGATGTGCAGGTTTTAACGGTGAAAGAAACAAAGAAATTTAGAACAACAACAAAAAAAAAATAAAGGAAAACTACAATTATCAATTTTTAATCTAGCTAAACTACACTTTTAGAACTATTGTGTCCTTAGCACTTTTCAAACAAATGTCAAATATTTGTCATTTGTACTTCTTCATTCCTTTCATTGCGTTGTAAATATCTGATATAAAAAATATCTGTTGGGGAAAATATGCATGATTTAACATTTGGAGGCCAATGCCAACCCTGAATGCCAACAATGTAAGCCATGGATGCCCACAATGTAAGCCATGGATGCCCACAATGTAAGCCATGGAGGCCCACAATGTAAGCCATGGATGCCAACAATGTAAGCCATGGATGCCCACAATGTAAGCCATGGATGCCCACAATGTAAGCCATGGATGCCCACAATGTAAGCCATGGATGCCCACAATGTAAGCCATGGAGGCCCACAATGTAAGCGATGGATGCCCACAATGTTATCAATATAGGTACACTTATTATAAAACAAAAGCAATAACCTGGTAAATAGATTAAGAAATTGATAATTTAGTAAGAGAAAGAAATTATAAAATAAGCTTACACCTTAACAATTGTAACAAGAGGGCCATGATGGCCCTGAGGTCGCTCACCTGTATATAGGCCCCCCGGAGAGGGGCCAGTTTAAACCCCAGGGTTTTATTTGAACAAACTTGGAAGACACCTATTAGAAGATGTTTCATGATGTTAAGTTTTTACTACACACATATAATGTAAAACAATGACCTTTGCACCCCCCGGCAGGGCCAATTTTAACCCAATGGCTTTTATTTGAACAAACTTAGTAGACACCCACAAGACGATGTTTCATGTTAAACATCTTACCTCTAGCTCATTGGGTTTTTTAAAAGAAGATTTTTTAAAGTTTTTACTATACACATATAATTAAAAACAATGACACCTCTTGGGCAGGGCCAGTTTTGACCCAAGGGCTTTTATTTGAACAAACTTTGTAGACACTTACTAGAAGATGTTTCATACTTACTATCTAAACTCTAGCTATTTGGGTTTTTTTTCAAAAAAGGTTTTTAAGTTTTTGTCATACACATATAAGGAAAATCAATGACCCCCGGGGCGGGGCCAATTTTGACCCCATGGCTTTTATTTGAACAAACTTTGTAGACACTCACTAGAAGATGTTTCATGCTTAATATCTAAACTCTAGCTATTTGGGTTTTTTCAAAGAAGATTTTTTAAGTTTTTTGCTATACACATATAAGGAAAATCAATGACCCCCGGGCGGGGCCAATTTTAACCCAAGGGCTTTTCTTTGAACAAACTTTGTAGACACCCATTAGAACATGTTTCATGCTAAACATCTTAGCCCTAGCTCTTTGAGTTCTTTAAAAGAAGATTTTAAGTTTTACTATATGCATATAGGGAAAATCAATGACCCCCTGGGGCGGGGCCAATTTTGACCCCAGGGCTTTTATTTGAACACACTTGGTAGACACCCATTAGAACATGTCTCATGCTAAATATCTTAGCTCTAGCTCTTTGGGTTCTTTAAAAGAAGATTTTTTAAGTTTTTACTATATGCATATAGGGAAAATCAATGACCCGCTGGGGCGGGCCAATTTTGACCCCAGGGCTTTTATTTGAACAAACTTGGTAGCCACTCACTAGAAGATGTTTCATGCCAAATATCTAAGCTCTAGCTCTTTGGGTTTTTTAAAAGAAGATATTTAAAGTTTTTTCTTTCGGTTGCCATGGTAACCAGAGTTCTGCATGGAATTAAATTCTTTGAACAATTTTTAAAGGTGACCACCAAAGGAACATTCCTGTGAAGTTTGAATGAAATTGGCTTAGTGGTTTATGAGGAGATGTCATTTAAAGTAAAAGTTTACGGACGGACATACCAAAATTTGATGTTTATGAGGCAAATCAGCTCATAAACACCACCTGGACCAACGTCCATAAGCAAAATAAGCTCATGAAAACAAAAAAATAGCTCTTAATTTGAATTTTATGAGTTTATGTTCTTTATTTAACTACGGAATAAAGCTCATAATAATCAAATGTTGGCTCGGACGGACGGCTGACGGACGGACGGACGCCGGACGAAAAGCGATCACAAAAGCTCACCCTGTCACTTTGTGACAGGTGAGCTAAAAAGATAGCATTTTGTAAAAGGAAAATGCTTGCTTAGTGTATAGATCATTGTAAAGTGATCTTGATAGAAAAAAGTAGGTCTTTTGATCTGTTGCAACATAATACATTATGCTAAAGAATTCGAGCTACATTTATTACACAAAGTAGTTCAGCAACACAAGAATGTAAAAACAACATGATAATTATGCAATACTAATGTCAAATTTCTTAAAATACATAACAACATCTTAGTTACATTACTGAAATGTGTTTGATCACATGGCGTATATGGAAATTACTTATTTCTTGAAAATGATGTTTAAGAAGTTTTCAAATGAACATTATTATAATAATAACTACTAAAGTGGTAAAAAAAATGGTTTGATCAATTTTTCACTCTAATAAAAAGTTCAAACCTATTTTTGATTCTAATTGTAAGTAGGTACATAAACAGGTGAAGAACACATCTGAAATAAGTTTTTCTTGTTTTTTTTTTTCTTTTTTGTTTTATATTTCATCAACATTGTAAAGGTCATATGGCGACAAGAGCAGGAAGACCTCAGGTGCTTCTTTGTGCATTATTTAAGATACAACAATGGCCAGGTGCAAGCTGGATAGTTTCCTTACATGAAAGATTCCAAAGTCAATGGCGGGAATTGAACCCTGAGCTGTGAGAGGCAAGTGGTTTGAAGTCAATGACCTAAACCATTGGCTGAGGACACCACTCTGAAACAGTTGAAACTTGTTGAGCAATGTTTCAAAGTCTCACTAACACTGTAGATGTTACTTTACAAAACAAAATTCAGGTAACTCGGTATTTCAAGAATTTTTAGGCCCATATGTGGAACCACTGGCCTTTTCATAAACTACCTGAAGTCCTAGTGAGATTCAAACCATAAGCAGTAATGGCTACAGACTTAAGGTTGGTAACTTTAAACACTATGTAATGGAAGTGCCCAAAAACTAAGTTGAAAAATTTATCATACAATATAAAACAGCACTTAAATGTTTCTAAAAAGCATATTATTTCATAAATGCCAATATCTATATACATCTTTATACAGCTGATAGCATGAAAGAAATTTCAAATGCAAAATGAGAGATATCCAATAAAAAACATGTATCTTTAAACAATTTATCTCAGCATTAAAATAAGAATGTAAAATGTATACTTTTTCATTTTCTACAGTATGTACACTGTATTTGATATGTCTATGCTTCCAGTATATGTCCGTAATGACAGTTTGTGATAAAAGCTATCATAAAACAGATCCTTTTAAACGAACAAGACAGATAATTGGCCCTAGGTCACTCAACTGAGATGTTATTATAAGAAACAATAAATGATAGATCACTAACACAGTGCCATCACAAAAGCTCACCTCAGGGCACTAATACTCAGGGGAGCTTAAGATGTGATCCCAGTACTCTGTTACATTTAGGTCCACAATATGTATCCTTTCAGCAAAAATATTCTCTTGCTTCATTTTGTTTACAGGAGTTTTGTGTAGGAATTGGTGGGACAGGTCGTCGATTGACACCTGGAGAACTGCTTTGTGATGACAGATCTGTTCTAGCAAGAGGGGACAAATTCTGCTGCGTCTGTCCGTCTGCTGAACTTGATGTCTGCAAAGTCTGGTATCCCCGATTGGCTGCATTGCTAGGCGACTGACTTCTATCCTGAGTAGCTATTGGCTGAGTGTAATGAGCTGTTCTTTGACCATAAGTATCAGCAACAACTTCATTTGAAGCAGAGTTATCCACCCCTTGTAAACGACGAATATTACTGATTCGTTCATAATCATTTGATCTCCTGGGTAATGGTGGAGAGGCAGATAACAGTTCCAGATAAGGTGGGTAGGTTGCTGTCGGCTGAATGTAATCATTACCTCTTGTATCCGAGGAGGAACCAGAGGAATAAGTTGATGTACTCATTGACGATGACCCTGACGTTCCACTGGAACCAACGCTTGACAATGAACTTGACCCCTGGCTAGAACTTGAATCTGACCAGCCAGGTACCGATGATGAAGTATCCAGATTCAACGTATTTAATTCAGTTTGGTTTCGGAACTTACATTCAGACGGATTTAAAGGTGCCTTTAGTGAGGATACAAGCCTTGTCCAAAACCACTCCAGTAATTCTTTCCTTGTGTAGTTACAACAGGTGATATGTCTCAAAATTTCAGGAATGGTGCAGTCTTGTATCAGCACTGGAATCAGTTTCTTATTTCGTGAACCTAAAATAAACACCAGTAACTGAATGTCACAAAACAAACCAGCACACAAAGAAATAAAAAGAAAGAGGAAGTCCAATCTACAAAATATCTGGACCATTAAGTATCAGACACAATTATAAATTGTAAAAGCCTTTGGAAGTCTATGCAAATCAATAAGACATCAAGGGGCATTTTTTTATTCAACTTCTGTAACAGCCACAATGCTATGTTTCATATATAATTTATCAAAGCTATTTGCATTGTTAATTCTGAGAGTATATTTCTAAAGATATAATTCTATATGAACAGATCTATGTTGCAAGAGACACTGGTGTATTGTCATTTTCTCAAATAGATAAAACCTTTGTTGAGGTAAGTAAGACAATGCTACAAGCCAAAAATGGTCAAATATCTAAGCTTTTGGCAAGTCAGTTTTGGAAAAACTCTAAGATCCAATAGGTCATGATTCTTGCAACTTCATAAGGTTATGACACATATAACTAGACCTACCACTGCAGGTGATTAATACCCCCATCAGCAACTTTCACTTTTTGAAAAATAAGTGGTCTAAAGAAAAATTTGACCTCAACTTATAGTTAATGAATTATCAACTGTGTACAAAGATTTATTTCAATTAATTGCAATCCCAACCAGGATCTTCATATGAACTTGCTTTAAACCAAGTTTGATTACAATATCTCATTTCTAACTCTAGATATTGTCTAGAAACCATTTTTCTATTTTCAGTAACAGTGACCTTGACCCAAGGGTTCCAAAATGCAAAACCAACTAAGGTCTTCATATAAGCTTGCTATACACCAAGTTTGATTACAATATCTCATTCATAACTCTAAAAATTGTCCAGAAACCATTTTTTTATTTTAAGTAATGGTGACCTTGACACAAGGGGGTTCAAATTCAATACCAACTGGAGTCTTCATATAAGCTTGCTTTACATCAAGTTTGATAACAATATCTCATTTCTAACTCTTGTTATTGTCTGGAAACCATTTTTCTATTTTATGTAACAGTGACCTTGACCTTGAACCAAGAGGGTTAAAATGCATTTCCAACCAGGGTCTTCATATGAGCTTGCTATACACCAAGTTTGATTACAATTTCTAATTCTTTACTCCAGTTATCATCCGGAAACCATTTTTCTATTTTTAGTAATATTGTGACCTTGACCCCGGGTTATCTAAATGCAATACCAACGGGGGTTTCCACATAAGGTTGTTTTACCAAATTTGATTACAACACCTCATTCCAAACTCTTGTTATTTTCCAGAAACCATGAAGGAGACCGACAGATGGACCGGCCAACAAACTGACTCCTATATACCCACCCTAAACTTTGTTTGTGGGGGCATAATTAAAGTAGCCAAGTTCTTGATTGTGCAGTTTCTGATAAGAAGTCACCTTTTTGACAAACTGACAATGAACTTATACATTCAAAATTCATACATCGGTTAAAATTACTGCATAGTTTCATTTTGCTTTACTAACCTGGTGAAAGACCATGAGCAAATTTTGTCTGGAAATCACAAGCTGAACTCTGCAAATAACTGGGTGATATAACAATGATCATCCTCCTACATCTGAAAACAATAAACCCAATCACTTAAGATTATTTAAAGCCCTAATTATCTCTTTGTCTGTCTTGTTTGCCCTTATACATAATCATTTCTTCAACCAAATAATTTAATTAAGTAATTTCAGAAGCTTTCATGTATAACAGATGACAACAACTTTCAGTCTCAAATGGCATGATTGTTCCTTTTCAAAACATAGTCAAAACCAAAGTAATGCGTTTGCGACCAGCATGGATCTAGACCAGCCTGCGCATCCGCGCAGTCTGATCAGGTTCCATACTGTTCGCTTACAAACCCTATTACAAGTAGAGAAACTGATAGAGAACAGCATGGATCCTGATCAGACTGCGCGGAGGCGCAGGCTGGTCTGGATCCATGCTGGTTGCAAACCCACTATGTTGGTTTTGTCATGACACTTCTCAAGTATAGAACCAGACTAGCCTCTATACTGCTGGTAGCTCAAGTTCTGTATTTTGATACTGAATGCCTTTATATTGTTTTATGAACTGTTTCAATTCAACATAAGGCAAATTCAATACATCAATTCAGTAGGTTAAGAATGTGAAAAAACAACAGTGAATAATAACCTGTGTTCAATCAGTTTAGCTGTAACAGTATTGTGTGAGGCACCAGGAAGGTCGTCCCTCCATGGTACAAACAGTTTCAGACCATTCTCATCCTCAAGTTTCTCTATAAGTTTCCGTACAAATATCAAGTCTTCTCCCTCTGGGTTATAGCACACAAATGCATCGTATATTGTAGGGATGCCTTTAATAACTGAAAAGATAGTTCTACATGATTCCAAATGATGTTTAAATAAATTTTGTATTAAGACACATGTAATCATATGACTATACTAAAACTAAGCTGGATAAAATCATGTTTTCATACAAATCTTTTAACAAATATGCACTTCTATACATTTGATTGTAATTATTTTCAGTTTTAGAGCTTAGAAAGTTTGAAACATGTATGGGTGTAATATTATTTGACATTTTAAAGGCAGGGCTGCCAACAGCAAATTGCAAAATCAGAGGAAAATACGCCGGGGGTCAAGGGGGCTGCGCAAGCTCCCTTTGCGGGTCCAGGGCAGACCCCTGGTGGGGGTCCAGGAGGCGTAGCCCCCGGAAGCTCCTGGATTCTGATGATTTGGTTTGCCCTTAAATCAATTTCCTGGACTCTAAATTTGACTTCCTTGGTTGCCTTCAAAGCCATTCAGAGACACTTTAGTTGGACTTCAGGTTTTCATCAGCCCTCAAAACAAATATCCGACATTTTGACAACAGACAAGAGCGACAATGTAAACTGTAATTTGATTGGTTATTCTAAAATAGAATGCCGGAAAAGACTCGATTTGGCCAATGAGAAAAGCGCTTACAGACGTACCATAGGCGGCTAGCGTAACGATTAAAGCCGAAACGTGCCAGTTTTTGGGTACTGTATAAAATATGACGAATGAATTTATTGTCTTTGTCGAATTTACATCGATCTCAAAAATGACCCAGGAGCTCACGAAATCTGCGGATTTCCGCGAATCCGCGGAAAATCGGCAGCCCTGTAAAGGATAATATCAACATATATAGCCACACTATAAATTCATAAAGAAATGACTGCAAGTAAGTCAAACTAAACATTACAAATTAACGTCTTCATTTAAACTGAACATTACCATCATTGACAGTCATAACAGCAGATTCATCAACATCATGATCTAATGTCTGCGACACTGAAAAAAACAAAACAACTGATCTGATTAATTGATTCACTAATTAACAAACCAGGATATATATGCTTTTTAGTTTATTATATATTTTTTAACATATCTTGCTACATTAAATGCATCTAAATGCATACTGAACCCATATTGTATTACATGTACCCTGAACCATTTTCATGAGAACTGATTCAAGCAATGTATCAATTTGAGCAAAAGTATTTAATACAATTTACCCATCCAATTAAATTTTTTTTTATCTTGAATCAGTTATGAAAATAAATAAATTCTGAAGTACAGAATTAAAAGAAATTTCCTTCAGACATGTGGGTAACTCATTAATAAATAAATAATCAAATTAAAAGTAATTTTGGCAAAATGTAAAGTTATTTTTACTTTTACTTGTACACTCCCCACTTTCACTCAGATGGGCAAAATGTCACTGTTAGTGAACAGTTGCAGAAATAAATTTTAATAATATTTTTTTTTTTATCAAAACTGAATTTTCTATCAGTTGTATAAAGTAATTCTTAAAATAAATTTTTAGCTGTACATAACTATACATTACCTGTGCTATCCTGAATTGGTTTCTGGTTAGTTTTAAATCTGGATTTGACTTCAATATATTTGTCACAATCTCTCTCTATAATAAACAAGAGGGCCATGATGGCCCAAAGTCGCTCACCTGTATATAGGCCCCCCGGAGCGGGGCCAGTTTAAACCCCAGGGCTTTTATTTGAACAAACTTGGTTGACACCCATTAGAAGATGTTTCATGCTAAACATCTAAGGTCTAGCTTATTGGGTTTTCTAAAAGAAGATTTTTTATGTCTATATATATATATATATATATATATATATATATATATATATATATATATATATATATAATATATATATATAATATATATATATATATATATATATATATATATTATATATATATATATATATGTGTGTGTGTGTGTGTATGTATGTGTATATATATATATATATATATATATATATATATATATATATATATATATATATATATATATATATATATATATATATATATATACACAATATTGGTTCCTTACATATATATATATACATACATATATATATATAAGATATATATATATATATATATATATATATATATATATATATATATATATATTTATATATATATATATATATATGTATGTATATATATAATATGTATATATCTAAAAAAAAAGTCGAGCTAATGAATGACCCCCGGGGCGGGGCCAATTTTGACCCCAGGGCTCTTATTTGAACGAACATGGTAGACATCCATTAGAACATGTTTCATGCTAAATATCTTAGCTCTAGCTCTTTGGGTTCTTTCAAAGAAAATTTTTTTAGTTTTACTATATGCATATAGGGAAAATCAATGACCCCCTGGGGCGGGGCCAATTTTGACCCCAGGGCTTTTATTTGAACAAACTTGGTAGACACCCATTAGAAGATGTTTTATGCTAAATATCTTAGCTCTAGCTCTTTGGGTTCTTTAAAAGAAGATTTTTTAAGTTTTTACTATATACATATAAGGAAAATCAATGACCCCCAGGGCGGGGCCGATTTTAATTCTAGGAACAAAATTTGAACAACTTTGGTTTTGGATCTATAGATGATACCATAGACCAAATATCAAAGCTCTAGGCCATTTACTTTCAGACCATAAGATTTTTCAAGTTTTCACTATATGTATATAATGAAAATCAATGACCCCCGAGGGCGGGGCCAATTTTGACCCGAGGGCCATTATTTGAACAATTTTGGTAAAGGTCTACCACACAATGTTTCATGCCAAATATCTTACCTGTAGCCTTTGCCAATTCAGAGAAGAAGATTTTTTATGTTTTACTATATACATATTTAGAAACCTATGACCCCCCGGGTTGGGGCCAATTTTGACACTAGGGACAAAATTTGTACAACTTTGGTATTGGACCTTCAGATGATACCATAGACCAAAATATCAAAGCTCTAGGCCATTTACTTTCAGACCAGAAGATTTTTCAAGTTTTCACTATATGTATGTAATAAAAATCAATTGAACCCCCGGGGCGGGACCAATTTTGACCCTAGGGCCATTATTTCAACAATCTTGATAGAGGTCTACTACACAATGTTTCATGCCAAATATCTAATCTGTAGCCTTTGCCAAATCAGAGAAGAAGATTTTTTTAGATTTTACTATATACATATAAGGAAAAACCTATGACCCCCGGGGCGGAGCCAATTTTGACACTAGGGACAAAATTTGAACAACTTGGTAGAGGACCCATAGATGATACCATATACCAAAAATCAAAGCTCTAGGCCATTTACTTTCAGACCAGAAGATTTTTCAAGTTTTCACTATATGTATGTAATGAAAATCAATGACCCCCCAGGGCGGGGCCAATTTTGACCCTAGGGCCATTATTTGAACAATCTTGATAGAGGTCTACTACACAATGTTTCATGCCAAATATCTAATCTGTAGCCTTTGCCAAATCAGAGAAGAAGATTTTTTTAGATTTACCTATAGACATATAAGGAAAAACCTATGACCCCCCGGGGCGGGGCCAATTTTGACACTAGGGACAAAATTTGAACAACTTTGGTAGAGGACCCATAGATGATACCATATACCAAAAATCAAAGCTCTGGCCCATGTACTTTCAGACAAGAAGATTTTTTAATTTTGTGTTTTTTGAAATCCTTTTCTGGCCCTGTGACCTACATATGCAACAGACCGGAACCATTTGAACAACTTTGAAAGGGGACCACCCAAGGATCATTTCTGCAAAGTTTGGTTGATGTGCAGTCATTGGTTTCAGAGGAGATGTTGTTTATGTGAAAAGTTGACGACGCACGACGCAGGACGCACGACGACGGACGACGGACACAGGGCGATCACAATAGCTCACCCTGAGCATTGCTCAGGTGAGCTAAAAAGATTAAATTCTATAATATGATATTTTTACAGAATGTTTTCTAGAATTGTTTTTATACACTATCCAAACCATCCTTGGTCTAAGTGCATCATATCATAATAGCCCAAAATAGTTCGCGCCAGGGCTTTTTATTACATAAACGATGGTACAGGTAAAGACGGACATCTGAGAAATATCAGTTTGTAAAATCAGTCTGTCTTGCACTCGAAATATGAAGACAACATAATTAAATATAATAAATTGGCTTTACTGGGGTGAGTGCATTTTCTTTATTTATTGTACAGGGCTCACACTGGCTTAAATAAAATAATAGCCAATATTTTTAACTTAAAATACTAATAGCCAAAAGTTCAGCGGACTATTCACGATTTAGCGATTAACAACATAAGCAGTTGATTAAATAAACATTACATATAAACCTTTTTCAGTTTTATAAGGATTCTCAAATAAACTGATACATTGTGTATATATTGAGACCTACCTTTTTTTTTAAAAATAGAACCACAACTTAAATTGTTATTATAGAACAGAATAAAAATGTTATATAGTATATAATGACTGTATATCAATATAAAAAATTATAATATTAAAGGGAGACACAGGCAAACTTTTCATTTTCTTAGTTTTGAATTTTTCATTCATTATTCTGTAAATGCCCTCAAAATGAATATATAAGACAGTCAACGGAACAAAACTTTTCTCCATATAAAGAATAAAACGGTGGTTTCCTAACTTGACCCGCGTGGGTCAGGTTAGAGCGCTAGCATTTCACAATAGTTGTCAAAGTGAACTCTGGAAACGTTAAAGAAAATGTCAAATGAATGACTTAGGCTCTTTTCAATCATACAATATCCACAATATCTGTTATTGTAACTTCAAGGGTTTGTTCATGTCACCTGGCTTGTTTTAAAACTATTTGGTGATTCTATTGGTGTCTAAATTTTGTTCAGCATATATAGATATATTTACGATTCAAACCCAAAATCTATAGAATTTAAACAGAAATGCATGATGAAACTTTATGAAAAGTCATTTTAACGTGATTTGAATACATAAGATCATTTTAATATTTTTGTCATTATTTTGCCTGAATATCCCTTTAAAGATTCATTATGAATTTACATAATGCTATTATCAGACAATTTCTTTTGTTTGTTTTAATCAAATTTTGTCAGCTATAACCACTGTCAATATCCACATTAGTAGATCTAGGTCATATTAGCCTATAAATATAACAATTGCAATCTCATTCACAGAATGCAGCCTTTTTTTCTGAATAACTTACTGAAAAATGTCATCATCACCAATGTAATACAAATTTTCTGCCATAATAGTAAAGATTTTTAAACAGAACATAGCTTATTTTCACCTTTAAATAAATATCAAAATTATCGGTGTCGCAAAAATATGTGACAATCGGATTTTTTCCTGTTTTCTGAAGAAATACTCACAATTTTGGTTGTTGTGCAAATGGTTGTTTGGAAGTTAATACTTTTTAAATATGTTATAGTTGTTTTCAACTGGCGATTTAGTCAAGTAGCTTAAAACAAAAACAAGAGCTGTCTGTAGGACAGCATGCTCGACTATTCTAAGTGCTTGATAGTAAAAGAGCCTTGATATTGTTAAATTTTTTAAGTTAACAAAAGGGCTAATTTTTTTTTATAAATTCATGTTATAGGCCTTAGAGAGAGTCTAATTATACAGAATTGGCTTGACTATTCGGAAGGTAATGTCACAAGGTTTTTTATTGAGTATAATAATACTAATAACCTATGAATACATAAATTTGACAGAAAAGGTACAAAGGCTTGATATTAAGATGTTTTATCAAGTAAATCACTACTTTATTATTATGAATGCATAAAATTGTCCCAAAAAAGGCACAAACCCTACAGTAGTTATTGAGATAACAGCTTACAAGCAAAACTTTACCATGAATTTCTAAGTTGAAAAAGGGGAGAAAAATCAGCCTAAATGCAAGATAGAATTATGGATCTTTGTCAGTGACCTACAATTATGACCCTAAATGCATATGTGAAGTTTTACATAAATATCTTTAATAGTTATTGAGATATGTAAACATTAACCAAGAGACTAAGTAGAAAAGGGGATATGAATCAGCCTTAATGCAAGATAGAGTTATGGAACTTGGTCAGTGACATACAATTATGACCCTCCAATTATGACCCTAAGTGCATGTGTAAAGTTTCAAGTAAATATCTTTGAAGACCGTTAACCTTTAACCAAAATTTCTAAGTTTCAAAGGGGCAAATAATTCTGCAAATATTGCAGACAGAGTTATGCAATTTTGCAAACTGATGTACATTGTTACTATAAATAAGTATTTTAAATTTCAATTGATTATCTCAAGCAATAATTGAGATATTTGACTTTACAAAAAAACTTTAACCAAAATTTCTAAGTTCCAAAGGGGCATAATTCTATCAATATGGTAGGCAGACTTATCCAACTTGTCAATCTGATGTACATTGTTACTATAAATAAGTATTGTAAGTTTCAATTGAATATCTCAAGCAATAATTGAGATATTTGACTTTACAAAAAACTTTAACCAAAATTTCTAAGTTAAAAAGGGGCATAATTCTGTCAATATTGTAGGCAGAGTTATCCAACTTGTCAATCTGATATACCTTGTTACTATAAATAAGTATTGTAAGTTTCAATTGAATATCTCAAGCAATAATTGAGATGTTTGACTTTACAAAAAAACTTTAACCAAAATTTCTAAGTTAAAAAGGGGCATAATTCTGTCAATATTGTAGGCAGAGTTATCCAACTTGTCAATCTGATGTACCTTGTTACTATAAATAAGTATTGTAAGTTTCAGTTGAATATCTCAAGTAATAATTGAGATATTTGACTTTACAAAAAACTTTAACCAACGCAGACGCCGACGCGGACGCTGACGCCGACGCCGACGCCGGGGCGACTACAATAGCTCTCATATTCTTCGAATAGTCGAGCTAAAAATCAAAATTTGCCATTACTGCAATTTACAGTAAATTTTGGGTTGGTCAATATCCAGTTTATCAATTTTAAGACGATCTTTTTGGCTAATTGACGGATATTTGATGGCTATTATAATGCTGGACAATATCTTTAAAGTACTTATACAATTTTACATCTCGCATGTATTTTTATCACCTCGGGCAGTATGGTAAGCAGCATGTGACCGATAAAAAGTTGACACTCAATTAAATCCACCCCGCTGGTGTTAATTGGGTCTACTGCATTCTTTATCGATTTTCACACCTTAAATAAACACTGTTGGAAGTAAAAAATAATCGCCAGATTTTGTAGCCAAAATGCAAAAAATAATCGCCAATCTTATAAAATAATCGCAAATGGCGACTATGGCGACCGACAGCGTGAGCCCTGATTGTATGTTGATTAAAAATGCACTAAATTATTACAAAGTATCTGCCGTTTTAGATGCTGCTCCCAATCCTTACTAGATTGAGAAGGGAAAATAAGTTGCCCATATAAAAACCAAAGTGCCATATCATCCAAGTTAAGCTCGAGGCTTTAAGGCAAATGAATTTTCTTGGAAAAAATCATAACAGAGGAAATGACCTGCCATTAATTTACAATAGACAGGGTGGAAATTTAACCAGGGCTGATCAAAAGGTAAAGCGTTGTGTTATTCGAATGGTGTGTTATTCGAATGGAGCAGGGACATTTGGTGACAGTGGGATATTAATCATGTGTGAAAAACCTTTCACTTTAAAAGATTATGAAAATTTGTAAACAATGAAATATTTCAAATACATACCAATGAATTTTTTACTGTCAGTGAGAACATCAAACCTTGCTAAAGACATCAAATAACTCCACAAGTTTCCTACAGTTGGTGAGAATTCTGGTCTGGAGGTCCAATCTTCAAGTAACTGCTCTGTCGGACTTTTCTCTCTCTCGAAATTCTTAATTTCTAAATAGCCAAAACCGACCATTTCTGCCAGTCCTCTGAAATCATTCATCAAATTAACGTCTTCATTTAAACTTCCTTCTAAGTTTAAGTGTAAAGCAATGTGTCTTCTGCAACTTGAATTCAGCGCTTCCAGAGGAATCTGAACATATTTTGAATTTAAAACACAATCTTCTGGCAACTCGCTTCCCTCCGCCATTTTGAAAATCACTTTCAATTGGAGAATACCTAATCAATCTTTAATGTCACCGTATGCATATTGTAATAAACGTCATATAAAAACCCAAACTCCTCACAGTGATTACCTCCCTTGGCAGAATTGTAATCACTGCCTTCACAAAGTTCACGTGACCATAGAAAACAGGCACGTGACTTTAAAATGGAGGATACTCCAAAGAAAACTGTTCTGGATGAAAATTGCTTCATTTGTTGCAAAAACAAACGTTTTTATGGTTTGAACGGGAGGAAAGCCGTTGAGAACGAACTTATTAACAAGTTGAATAAATTATCTGGGAAAAATTTTGAAGATTTTTGTTCGCAATACCCATCTAAAATATTCGGGATATGTAGGAAGTGTTTGAAGAAAGTTAATTCAGCATACATTTTGCAAATACAGTTGATAAATGTTATTGACAGTTCGGATCAGGATCATGAAGATGGACAGCCTAGGTTCAAACGGATGGCGAACAGTCCATTAACTCCTAAACTTCTGGTTGATACGGACGATGACTCGGTGAGTTCGAAACGTTCAAAAGTGAGACGACCTCTACATCTTGAACTGCAGGATGACTCAAGCAGCATTAACAGTATTCCACCAACAAGTGATGATCACTGCTATTCATCAGTACAATCGTTAGAAAAAAACAAAGAAAATATTGTTGACTTTGAACATTCTTATTCAAAAATCATCGTAGACTCGCACTGTAAGAAAGAAAAATCAAGTGTAAAATCAACTGTAGAATGCCTGAAAAGTCATCTTGTGGAACCCGACATTTCGTCAAGTTTGGTGAATGACATTGTTGATGTAATTTTCAATCATAAGGTATTTTTGTTTTCTCTTTCATTTTAAAGATTTCTATTCACTTAATATGCTGTACAGTACACTGTATTTCTGCAATATTCAGATTTTTGTAGGTATATTGCTGTTTCCATATTTACTTAAGGTAAAGGGTCAACTATGTCCTATACCAAGGTAAAGGGTCAATTTTGACCTATACGAATGAATTTAAGATGGATCCTAACATAGGCCACATGTGACCAGGATTATTATTTTGATCGTATGTTGGGGGGAGTGGTTGTTGCTTTTTCATAACACTTTGATCATTGGCATCTTCAGTTCTACAGAGTGTTATGGATATTAATAACGATTGACTGATGTAAACAGCGGTCAAATGAAGTGAGTAAAGTATTTACATGTACTAGTTATTAGCTCCACTTTAAAATATGAAATATAAAAATTTATTTTGTATAAAATATTGTATAAATTTGTACAGAATATGGAAATCAAAGAGAAAAATATACATCATAGGAAATTACAAGTTTAATAACCAGATAGCTCAGCCGGTAGAGCAACCTAGACTTTGTATAGACATGGTTTTAGGAAGGTCTCAGGTTCAAGTCCTGATCTGGTTGTTACTTGTATTATTCTTTGATATATATATATATATATATCTATCAATTATATCTAAATCTTTCTGAATTTTCATGCCAAATTTATATATTAGTTTGTCAAATGTTATTTGTTTGTTTTTCTTATTTTATTTTTTCTCACTAAAAATCAGTCATTTTTAACTATTCTCAGGAAATTTATATTATAAAAGTTAGATTTTGTCAGAAGGAATGTTGCTAATGTTGTAAAATGTTTAAGCCCAACCCATTTGCACTATACTTCTATGTATATATGTTTTTGCGTTATTCATATTTTACAGTAAAGTATTAAACTAAATCATTGACATCTACAGGTACTGTTAAAGGCTGTTGAGAGAAAGATGTTGAGTGTAATTACAGACATGTGCTCAACTTTATCATCCAGAAATGTGGCATTTTCAAGTGTACTGTCCCGCTACAGAAGTATCACTGGCCTTTCAATGTTTGGTGACCAGCTGCTGAATGAAATCATTCAAGAAATTTCTCAAAGGTACACAGTTAGCATTCAGGAATATAAAATTCATTATAAGCTTTAAATGACATAGCCTTAGTTTATAAACAGAAATAGAGTAATGTCAAACTTTAAGTCTGACATTAAAACAGCATGCCTACAGGTACCTTCTTATTTTGGTTGAAATTTTGAAAATACATTTTACAATAAAATATTGTCAAGTGAACAAAGAAGGTAATTTATACATTGCAAACAGCACTGACAATCCACATAATTAACCAATTAACTGAGATAGTGATGCAGTAGAAATCTGGTGATAATTCAACAAAACCAGTCGTGTAAATTATTTCTTGAAATTTTGTTACTTTTCTTAAAATCTACATACATTTCGGTCAACTTCGAATTTCTTGAACTTTTTTGGCTCAACTTTTTTTTGGACGGTGGCATGGTAAGAAATGTCACACTGTCACATTTGAAATTAATTATGCAGTGCATAACTTTTGTGTGAAAAAATAATTTATATAATTGATTGTTACTAAAATGTTAATAAAGAAATTAATTGCTTTCCATCATAAAGCAGTACGGATAGTGGACTGCTACTTGTAATGCAGTGATTTTGCAGTATAAGTATTTAAAATTTATTCATGTAAAGGTTTGACATAAAAATCATGGTCATTTGTGTAATTTTCATACTTTATATGCTTGTCTAGAGCATAACTTGGTCTGTATAAGTTGGATTTACCCAAGACTTGGTATGCATTCGTGTAAACTCAGAAATTTTAAAAAGTAATTTCATTGTCAGTTAATCTATAAAGTACAAGGAAAGGAGTAGTGGCTTTAATATGAATTCATACTGAATTAAAATTGTTTCTATAATAGTATTAATGCAAAATGTATCATAGGTGTACATAGTAATTTCTTTCTCTTAAGATTAAGTGTAGCATTAATGTTGTATGGGTTTGTTTTTTGTACTACTTAGTTTCACTTATGTCATCACCTAGATAATTTCTGAATGACCTAAAATGTGTTAATGCAACCACCTTTTTAGAATCCCATTCTTGTTGGATGTCTTTGCGACAATAAGTTCTAGCACTGGAGAACCAACAGAACAGAAAATTGCTCCAATAGCAGCAGCATATGCCATCTTGATGAACTCAAGGTCAGAGAAACTTTCAGCCTGGCACAGACTTACTACTATAATTGTTACAAAAGGACATTTGGATGACTCAGTAATTTATTTGTACATCATCATCATTATAACGGGTTTACTTTTCTTTGAAATCCCAACATCCTATTTTAACTTGACATTTTAAGGGGGGGGGGGGGATTAAAATTTGCTATAAATGCAGGTAATTTTTTTTATTGGTGGTTGTAGTTTTTTTTACCAAAACTACTATCACTCTACTTGCCTTTCTATACTTCACTGTATTGTAACTGGAAAGGTAGATATTGTAAGTCTCATAAAGATATATATATTACATATGTTTAAGATTTTCTACTTCCATAATTATCCATTTATAAGATATACATTGACTGGTGAGCACATCTCTATGTAAATATACATACACATGTTATAAATTATGTGTGCTCATGCATATATCTCACTGCTAAGATTTATTAGCAAGATATTGAAGCCATGCTTAGACACAATGACCTGGGTGCTGTTTTGAGCATTTTGCAGACTTAAAAGAAGAAAACATGTCTTTTTCAGGCATTGACAACTCTGAACCATTTGGGTGTTTGCTTGTCTGCCCCTACCAAAACCCGTCTTCTTGATGAAGCTGGAAATGGAAGTGACCTTGGTATTGTGTCAGAGCTGAAAAACAATCCAATCATTAAAGTGACTGGAGATAATTTGGATATTTATGTTAGAACTGGTCACAAATCATTAGATAAACACAACAAAGATCTTCACTTGTTTGCCTCGAACATCATCTTCAGCAGAATTGCCCAACCACATATGTACAGTCTTCGTGAAAACAGTATTCCTCTATCAAATCTAACTTCAGATTTATTCCTGCCACATGGACACTACACTGAAACACTTATGAGCAGCTATACAGTTCTTCTGGGTTAATATGTATTAATTTCTATAAACATTTCTTTGCCCTTGATTAAATTCTGACAACAGTTACTTATGATATTACTTAAGTACATTGTAACTATCATATACTGATACTGTGTACAGAAACTGTCTGGAAATTTATGTGACGTCATTGTTTCCTTTAAAGGGCCCTTCATTGAATTAGGAAATATTATAAGTTGATATACCTTAGTGTGTGTGTTTGTCTCTGTTTTTATTCTTTTTTTACAGTATCATTGTTATCCAATATTTCTTCAATAATTTTTTTGCATTTTAAAATGAATAACTTGTCTGTAATACTGAATTGTTTAATTTATAAATTTAAAAAAAATGTAAAAACTGTTATAATTACCACATTGTTTCATGTAGGAAGTATGTAACACTGTTATAAATTTCACATTGTTTATACAGGAAGGATGCTGTCAGAGTTAAAACCATTTACATGGATGAAAGCAGTGTTGCCTGCCCACATTAAGCATCCATATCAGCAGCAGATGGCTATAAAGTCCAAGGTGTACCAGCTACCAATTATGTTTAAGAATGAAGCTAAACATGAGGACTGTGTTGATATACTCGATTGTTATGAGGACATTTTAGATGATTGTTTCGTGAAAGCCTTTGGTATGGTTTATTGTTTTGATGTTTCGATTATAACTCTTTGAAAGTTGCTGATAAAAAAGCTTTGAATAATTATGGCTGGCACAGAGCCTCCTCTGCCATTTCAGAAATTCTTCAAACTGCATAAAATAAAAAATGAATATTTTAAATATAAATGTTTTTAGTCCCCTACCGGTTTAACTGTAGGGGCTTTAGGTTTACCCTCCGTCCATCTGTCTGTCAGTTGGTCCACAAAACTGGATCCTGCGATAACGCAAAAAGTACTGAAAATCTGTATATGAAACTTGATATACATGTATGGATAGATGGCATTATGGAGATTATGCACGTCTTTTTCTTATCTTCCTATGTTGAAAATTCTGGTTGGTATGGCAACAAATAGTATGAAAATATGGCAAATTTATCACATAAACTGGATCCAGTGTTAACTGAAAGTATTTTTATGAATAGATGGCAGTCTGGAGATTATGCACATCTTTTTCTTTTCTTCTTATGTTGAAATTTCTGGTTGCTTTGGCAACAATTAGCCTGAATTTCAATATTTCTGATTTAAATTTTTCAGCTTTTTCACTATAAGTTCTTTATTTCTTAAGGTGTTTACTTCAAAGGTGTTTACTTTAAACTTTAAGTTTTTGGTCATCAACCACATCATATGTGACAAGGTTTACAACTCTAGCACAAAAATTATCAGTATTACCTCCCTTGAACTTAAATTTTTATGGAAAAAAATGTTGTCTTTTTTAAATAACTTCTTTATTTCCTAATGTATCTACTTCAAACTTCATATATATGTTACTTATTATCACTTAACTTAGAACTCAAAAGATTTAAGTTCATTCATGTCATTCATTCACTGGTAAAATTGAATGGCCAATGTTGCTGGGGTTCTAACCTGTAGGGGACTTATGGATTGCTTGCAAAACTATGATAATTGCTTCTTGTTGTTTTTTTTTTTTTGTTGTTTTTTTTTTTTTTGGAGGGGGGTTAATAAAAATGCAGTACTGTAATAAATATTTTGTTTAACCAGAAGAGGCACTGTTTAGCTGCTTGTTCTCATGAAGCTATTTCTCTCTGTTAATTTGTTCATCATCAATGGCAATTTGATGTATAGATACCGGTATAGTAAAAAATTTAAAAATCTTCTTTTAAAAAACCAAAAGAGCTAGATACAACAGACATAATTGAAGTTGAAGTTGGTTTACATGTTTAGTTGTTGTTTTTTATTTTACCAGTTTGCATGAAACAACTGTTACGTGTTCACTGTTTTGTTGTGTTTGCCTTAGGTATTAGCTGAACAGACATAAGAGATCATCAGTATGCTACCAGCAGTAAATGAAGGTATTTTAAATAATTTGGATCTTTAAAAACATCAGAAACATTCTAAACAGACGACCGATTTCTGACAGAGATTCTAGAAGCTTGAGCTCCTGGCTGAGTTAACACCAATGGGAGAAATATCATACAATTATTAATTCACAAAATTTTCAGAAAAATGTGGACATGGGACACCCAATTACTGCAATGGTTAGGCCTAATTTACAAATAAACATATTATGGATATTTCTCCTTTGTTAATTGTAAAGTAAAAAAAATAAATTTAAACAATCTAAATTTCCTCTTGTGATAAAAATCATAAAATAAGTTCAAACTATCTCATTGTATTGTTTACTAACGTATATGCACAATGTATTACGGTATCGCAGATATTTTAAATTATGAAATCTGGTATTAACATTGTTTCTAGATTTACTTCTTGTGTTGAGATAAATTGAGAAAATTTAAACTTTTTAACAGGTTCAAACAGTCTCCTTCAGAAATACAAGGTTGTAGTTGGTGGAGATCAGCTGACTAGAGTACGTTTGGAGGAAGCAAAACAGCTCCGTTCACTATCCACATCTCCAAAGAAAAGATTTGATAATCTACATCCTTTTGTAATTGAATTATGGCATACTAAGCAAGATTTTCTGGAGGTAAGTAACTGAATAACAATTTAAATTTAGTTGCTTGAAAAATTGATAGTAAACGTATTTTCAAAACTACATGTATATGATATAGAATGGTATGGTGAGGGATATAAGTCTGTTATGTTCCTCTCTATTTCCTTAGGTTCAGCAGTGGGTTGGTTTAAACATATTTATTTAAGCTCGATTGCGAAACAAGTTCTTACAACTTATATTAATCACTTTCGATTCCGCTTCCTGGAACCAACCAGTACTGGTGTCATATGAAGAAACATGGTCATAACCCGGGTAGTGCTCAAACCCATGATCTCTGGGTTGAGGGGCAGACACCTTAACCAATAGGCCACCGCTCCCCTCCAATAGCAGTGGGTTGGGTTAATAGAAGGAATTTTATTTGCTGCTTTTGCAAAATTCCATAAATTCACAAGTCCTTAAACAAGAGCTGTCGGTAGGACAGCAACGCTCGACTTTTCTTAGTGCTTTATATTGAAAGAGTCTTGATAATTTAAAAATTTTCTAACTTTACAAAAGGGCAAATTTTTTTCTTTAAATCCATGTTACAATTATAGGCCTTGTAGAGAGTCCTATAGTGCTCTCAAAGAAGAGTATTAAATGTCAACTTGTTTCAAAGCCAGATGTCAATATAATATGAAAATATCTAAGGTGGTATACATGAATGTAAATTCCAAGTTGAAAAAGGGGCATTCTTCTGTCAAAATGCTTCATATAGTTACCTCCTCCTGTCTACCGGTTGAGGTCATGATTGTGCACAGGTGTGCAAAGTTTCAAATTGTTATGTCAATGGACTTTGAAAATATTTGAGGTATTACATAAAATTTAACATAAGTGGTTACGCCGATGCCGACGCTCGTGTGACTACAATAGTTCTACTTATATTTATCCAATAGTCAAGCTAAAAATGATCTACTGTTGACTTTTTGACTTTCAAGGTTAAATGTTGTAAATACTTCTGGTATCCATGACATATTTCTTATATGAAAAGCTTCAATATTTGTTGGCAATATAAACTATAAGGAATGAATGTAAATTTTATTTATTTCTGTTAAAGTTTAAGAGGTAGATGTAGTTGGCTCTATTTCACTGAAGTCTCACCTAGCTTCAAAATTCCTTTATGGTAACAGTCATACATACTGCTTGACTACAATATTACCCTTTTTTTCAGAAAGCATACAAGGAGTTATATAGCCCTAAGTCTGTCCATCAACCTGGAACACTTTACCATTTAAAAGCCAAACTACAGCGCACAGATGTAACTGGAAAAGTTAAAGGGGCGTTTAAACAACATCACGAATTCATTATGCTAGTTGGTAAACAAATGGTTATTGAGCAGTTTCTGGAATACTTCGGAATGGAAGATCCATCATCATCCCCTACAGCTAACATCCCATCTGCTCATATTGAAAAGAAGCCAATTCATGAAAGGATGTCTGAGATGAATAACATTCTGAGACGGTTTATACTCAACTATGGTTACTTGGAAATGGTGGAAGGTACTTGTTCATGCAATGATGAAGTATACTGTTACTGTAATAATTTGTGCAGATGGTTTGTTCAATTAATTCAAATGCAGGATTGTGTTAAGGAAGGAGACATTATCAGATTGATTCCCAGCTTAATGGCATGCATACCATTCTTTTTCTCTCATTCAAGATTATCAAAATATTTTGTGGAATTAATTGACTTTATTATGAAAGCTGAATACATGCTGTCTCCATTACAAAGAATAAGGGTTTTAGAGGGGGCTTTTACCAATCTCAGAGGGGGAATTGGCAACAATATTGAAACAGACCTGGTGCAGGAGAATTCTGTAAGGAATCAAAAAGATCTGATAAGAAGCCTAGGAGCTGATAAGACTTAAAAAGCAAATTCCCGGTGTACAAAAGTTTATTCCTCTGTGTCATTGAAAAAGAAAACAACACGGCACCATACCCCAAAAGCTGAGAAAGACGAAAAAGAAATAAGTAAATCCCTCCGCTCATCTCGACCTTTTCGCAAGGTTGAAAATAGGAAATGTGAAGGTTTTCCAAATATACATGCAAGTCCTTTACATAAAATTGACAAAGCTGACTTTAAGTGTAGGATGAACCAAGTTATAGAGCGACTTAGTTAGGGACAAAATGTAGGGAAAACAAAATATGACTCTTCAGACAGTGATTAATCTGAGTGAGAGGGAACATATTTTCAATATGTCAGTGTGGAACAGTGACATACATAACAATTAATTCCTGAATATATTGCAAATTTGGTATTTGAAGGTTCATATCTTTATTGTTGAATTGGTGTATCAAGATGTTTATGTAACTGTTATTAATATTTTGTATTTTAGTATCTTAAAGGGACTCCACTGAGGTTTTTTGACATGATGGGACGGAAAATATTCTTTCCAGATAAATGTACAATCTGATGTATATTAAAACCACTAATCTTTGTTCAAAATTTCAGATTATTCGCGCACTTCGTATTTTCAGATTAACTATTCAAATTATAAAAAATGACCCAAAATGTAAAGCGTTTAAATGCTTTTCGCTCAAATTGAGCTAGGAAAAGCATAAAAATACAATTTTCAATTTATTTCAAAGTATTTTTCTTAATTATCTTTGCATATATATCTGTTTAAAGGGCCCAACTCATTTATATAAGAAATTCAAATTTTATATATTTAGGATTTTAAACTTCAATGGAGTCCCTTCAATAGTGATTCTGAGACATATTTTGTAACAAATTAACTGATACGTCAGGATAAATATCTCAGTCAGCATTACGAAATTAATCAAGGGGTAATATCTAAATTTTGTTTACTCCTGGTTTAATGGGATTCACATAAATTGAGTTTTAGCAGACTTTCATTACACTTTAATCATGAGATTGTAATTTTTTAATTTTTACATACTTTAAACAAATGACCAAATGTTATTCTTTTTGCTCGACACCGCTTGGATATTTTGAATAAGGCTTTTAAGGTTAGGAAATGGTCAATTTTTACAGTTCCTTATTGCGGCCATTATTGGTAGTCTACCTTAAGTGCATGATACTTGTATTAACTTCAATCAATTATTTGTATCATTTGATTGGATATCAGTTTAAAGAATTAAGTTAGAATTACAAGCTTTACCTTTTTATGAAGGTAAATTTCTTGAAAACTGCAAAACATACTCAGTTTAAACTTTTAGTTGTTCACTATCAATTTGTATTGCATTTATAATGCAATTTAAAGGGGATATCATTGACAAATTTTATGCCCCCGCCAATATAATGGCCGGGGCATATAGTGTTACCCTGTTCCATCATCGTCAGTTTCCGTTTATTATCTTAGCAACGGTTACACGTATTCAACTCAAATTTGACATAAGGATATGTCATGAGAAAATACAAGGCAAGTTCGAATTTGGTCATGGTTTGATGATTTTTGGCAGTTATGCCCCTTTCACTTTGAAATATGAAATTTTCAGTTTCCGTTCATTATCTCCCAAACAGTGTTACTTATTCAACTCAAATTTGAAGGAATGCACAGGTCAAGTTGGAATTTGGTCATGGTTCGATGTTTGAATTTGTTCGTGGTTCAATGATTTCGGACAAGCTATCTTTATTGAATGTTGGAAATTTTTTTGAATTTTCAGTTTCAGCACTCATACTTTTGTGGAAATGTATGTAGCCATTATTTTGGCTACAACTATGCAATATGTAATTTACAAAAGGTTAAGACTGAATAATTTCAGTGCCTTGAACATTGTATAAAAAAATGTTTTGTGTTAACATTTAATAGTTTTAAGGGCTTTGAACTTAAAATGAAAAAAATTATTTGTGCAAACAAATTTGGATCTTAACATCTGAAAGATCTAACATCTGAAATTTTGGCTGCATGCGGGGACATCCGTGGCATGATGACACATTTCTATTTTTTTGTTTTTTTTGTTTCATGTATTGAAAAAAATTTGCCTTTCCTCAATTATTGTCAAAGGTAGTCACTCAAAACTATTTTTTCAATATCATGGGCAGAAGCACTTGCAGAAGTATGTTTTGTTTTTATTTTGCCATTGCATACAATCCTGAACCCAGACTAGAACTCCGCGAGTCGGATGTGTCGCCTTGTGAACAATATTGTTTAGGAGAAATGGCCAGGACAAAAATGATATTTGAAAATTAACAAAGGGCAATAGCTCAAAAAATAAGAAATGCAGAGCAGCAGTTTCTGTGCATTGCACTTCTTATCAATAAGATCTATAATCCTACTAAGTTTCAAGTCTAAAGCTTTTATAATTTTTGAGAAATGGACTGGACAAAAATAAAGTTTGAAAATAAACAAAGGGCAATAACTCAAAAAAAAAAGAAATGCAGAGTACCAGTTCTTGGACACTGCACTGCACTTCTTCTTAATGAGATCTATCATCCTATGAAGTTTCATGTCCATAGCTTTTATACTTAAGGAGAAATGGCCTGGACAAAAATAAAGTATGAAAATAAACAAAGGGCAATAACTCAAAAAATAAGAAATGCAGAGTACCAGACTCAAAAAATAAGAAGTGCAGAGTACCGGTTCTTGTGCACTGCACTTCGGGTCATTGTAAGAAGCATGCATACCAAGTTTGAAGTCAATCCGACTTATAATGACTGACTTATGCTCCGGACAAGCTTAAGGGGACGCCGACAACGACAAAAGTAACACCTATATGTCGCCTTTTTCAAGGCGACACAAAAAGCATAGGACTGTTCATTGCTCTTCTTGGTTCGAATCTTGCCTGGATCAGTACTGTTTTACCACTTACTGATAGCTTTTCAGGTAACTAACAGTTGGTCTAAGGTTTACGCTTGATTGCCTGTTTGTGTCTGAATAATGAATGGAGGGACACCCAAGGTATTCATTATTCCAACACAAAAATGAATACAAATGTAAAAGCACAAGAATTTGTAACAGAGTTACCAACATCTCCCGCCTCTGGGAAGTTTTATATGAAGCATAAAATTGTGCTATTATTAAAGATTGAGGTATGGATCAAAGGATTTTCAGTCCAAAATTATGATCAATGCTAGATATGCAAATGCAACAATAAATTTATTAAAGAAATTTATCACACACCCGTGCCGATTTTGCGACTCTGTAAATATGGTAGTGCACGGCCGTGCATATATTTTGAGGTGACGTCATTGGCGTTATACAAACTTAGTGTAAAGACGCGCTAAATGTTAGCGTTATTCTATAGGCGCGTCAATGAAAAATGACTCTTATTTCACTTTAAACAGTCTTTATTTTGGATATGTGATAAACAGAATATTAAATTCGTGTAAGTTCATTACTTAATTTATTGCACTCGTTGAATAAAATAATATTATGCTCGCCAGAGGCTCGCATAATATCATTTTATTCAACTCGTGCAATAAATTCAGTATTAAACTTACACTCATTCAATATCCTCTATAGAATGAATGTTAAGCTTTGACCTCTTAGTGTTACTTTGACCTTGGAGGTAGGGGTCCAGGTGTTATGCATGACATATCATCTTATTATTGTAACTATTTTTACCAAGTATTTTCAAAATCCCTTCAACTATGAAAAAGTTATATATGGGACACAAAATATACCCTTTAACAGACTATGTTAATTTTTTATCTCAAAATGTGACCTTGACCTTGGAGGTAGGGATGCAGGTGTTGCACATGACACATGGTCTTAGTATAGTGACTATTTGTACCAAGTACTTTCAAAATTCTTTGATATATGAAATAGTTATGGACCAGACACAAAATATACCCTATAACAGACTATGTTAATCTTTGACCTCCAAGTGTAACCTTGACCTTGACGGTAGGTGACTGGTTGTTGCGCATGACACATCTACTCATTATCGTGAGCAATTGTGGCGAGTATTTTCAAAATCCCTTCAAAGATAAAAAAGTTATGGACCGGACACGACATATAACCTAAAATAGACAATGTTGACCTTGAGTGAGCAAGTACGACCTTGACCCTGGAGGTAGGGGTCTGGTTGTTGCGCAGGACACATCGTCTTATTATAACAAACATTTGTGCCAAGTTATTTCAGATTCCTTTATTAAATGACAAAGTTATGGACCAGACACAAAAATGTGATGGACGGACAGAGCTTATTTCTATGTCCCCCTTTTTTCTTCAAAAATGCGGGGGGACACAAATGTCATACTGTACAATATCTAAAACAAATTTATTGCTGTTTACATAAATTCAGACAAGATACTGAAGTACATCATCCTGGGAACTTAAAATGTTGCTTTTAAGTTGTCTGGTCGTCTATTGTAAGGGCAAATATACATGTAACATAAATTTCAATAATTAACTTTTTAATATCACAAAATCATATACATGTTTAACATCAACATACAATATATAATACTTTTGAATTAAAAAAAAAAAGTTATTGCAATACATTTAAACTAAACAACTTTAACATACAAAAATTGCAACAGCATTTTTTTTTAGCTGAATTGGTTTATAATGAAATGTCAGTTTTTTTATAAGTCATTTTAAAAACACCTTCTGAATAACATCTATCAATAATGGTCATCATCAATTTTTAGTGTAAGATCGGAATATTTTTCAGCGAGTGAGCACCAAAAGGTATATTTCACGAGTGAAATATGAACTTTTGGTGTTCACGAGGTGAAATATATTTTGATCTTACATTCAAGATATACCATGCTCAAATTTGATATCAGAAAATATTAATAATTGCTACACAGTCTGTTTGTAAATATAAAATCAACATGTTTTGACTTTACACAAAGTAGATATGTCATGTTTAAAACATTACACACTGTAGGCGGTAACAATATGAATATACAGTGTAGTTAAAAAAAACTGGCAGTTTTTTATAAGAAAGACCATATTTAGCTGTCATGTAATAGGAAACGTGGCTTCAAAAACACAGTTTATTCATTTCTTTATTCAAATTAGACATATTCAATACGAATTTCATAGATTTCAATAAATTTCTTTGATTAAAATATTTTACTCAAGGATGAGCATAGTATATCTTTAAACTAAACCATTTTTTTTTTATTAAATACAAAGAAACGTTTAAAGACATTTTAACCTAGTACTAAATTAAAAGAGCGCCAAATAATAATACAATGTGAATTCATTTACAATGTCACATCATTTAGTTGGTTTCCAGTACTGTGAACGCTTGTATTTCACTGAAACAACATAACAGGCTCAAATATTCAAAATAGTGAAATTATCAAATTGATAATTTCACTGTTTAAAACAGTGAAATTATCAGTTTTAATTTCACAGATATATTTATATAAACCATCGAAAAGCATGTAATAAATTCTGATAAACCACCAGAGAAAATTATAAATTTTTTTTTTTACTGTAGCCGACTACATCTGAATGTGGATGAGAAGAATATCATTTATTTCATGCTTTCCAGTATTTTATTGAAATATGATGATTATATTCCGATAAACCACTAGTGAAATTTATAAAATATAATATTCACTGTAGCCGGACTATGTCTGAATGCGGATGAAAAGAAAATCATAACTAAATGGAATAACAGGCAGAAATAAATACCGCCATACGTCAAGTTTGTTCCTTTAGGAAAAGAAAGTCGATGTCATCGAAATTCATGTTAAAATGTAACAAAATTAGAGAAATTCTACAGAACTATATTTCAAAATTGATGATGTGACGTCATGATGTGATGACGTAACAAAGGAGAATGTGAGACGTTACACGGCAAAATCAGTAATCAGATACTTAAAATCACTTAAAATGCATGAAATAAAAAGAAAATTTATTTGTTTTACATATAAGATTGAAATATATTTCATTCGTGAACACCAGCTATTATATTTTCACTCGTGGCTACGCCACTCGTGAAAATATTACACCTGGTGTTCACTCAGTGAAAATATATTTCAATCTTGCATGCAAAACAAACAAATATCCTCTATAACTACATGAAAAAATAGATATTGTCACATGTAATTAGGAAAATTACCTTAACAAGGAATAGGAAGTCGATATCATCATACATCATGTTAAAAATGTAACAAAATTAGTGAAATTTAACACAACTATATTTCAAAATTAATAACTTTATGACATCATAAAAGAGGAATCCGCAACGTTACGCGGCAAAATTGATTAGAAAATACTTAATCACTTACAAAACACGAAATAAAAAGAAAATTTGTTTGCTTTGTGTGTAAGATTGAAATATTGTATTCGTGTACACCAGTTATTCTGTTTTCACTTGTGGCTACACCACTCTGTGTAATATATTTCAATCTTACATGCAAAACAAACAAATTATGAATATCCTCAATATATCACAAATGCAAGTCATATACATGTAACATCAACAAACAGTATAATTATAATACTTTTGAATTCAAACAAAAATAGTTATTGCAATACAATTAAACTAAACAACTTGAACATAAACCCGGCAAAGTAATCAAACAATCCAGTTTATTAAAACACGACGGCATTTCAACATTGATTATCACCTTCTGGCATAACTAAGACATGCATTAATGTATTTAATACACTTTACACTTGGTAGATATAATAGTAGCATTTACAAAAAAAATATAAAAAAAATAAAAGAAATAAAAAAATAAATAAAATAATTTTTTTTTTGAACTTTCTTTTGTTGAAATTCCTGTCTGTGGCAGTAAAGTAACTTCTACAGAGCTTTTTTTTTTTGTTTGTTCAAAGTACACTACTGTACTTAAAAAATCTAGAAGCAAGTTATATTTTCATTTTTTTCAGGCATTCTACCTTTGATTTTACACTTGATTTTTCTTTCTTACAGTGCGAGTCTACGATGATCTTTGAATAAGAATGTTCAAAGTCAACAATATTTTTTTTCAACGATTGCACTGATGAAAAGCAGTGATCATCACTGGTTAGTGGAATACTGTTAATGCTGCTTGAGTCATCCTGCAGTTCGAGATGTAGAGGTCGTCTCACTTTTGAACGTTTCGAACTCACCGAGTCATCGTCCGTCTCAACCAGAAGTTTAGGAGTTAATGGACTGTTCGCCATCCGTTTGAACCTAGGCTGTCCATCTTCATGATCCTGATCCGAACTGTCAATAACATTTATAAACTGTATTTGCAAAATGTATGCTGAATTAACTTTCTTCAAACACTTCCTACATATCCCGAATATTTTAGATGGGTATTGCGAACAAAAATCTTCAAAATTTTTCCCAGATAATTTATTCAACTTGTTAATAAGTTTGTTTTCAACGGAATTCCTCCTGTTCAAACCTGAAACATTTGTTTTTGCAACAAATGAGACAATTATCTTTTTTTTATTACCAAAGGCTTTCACGAAACAATCATCTAAAATGTCCTCATAACAATCGAGTATATCAACACAGTCCTCATGTTTAGCTTCATTCTTAAACATAATTGGTAGCTGGTACACCTTGGACTTTATAGCCATCTGCTGCTGATATGGGTGTTTAATGTGGGCAGGCAACACTGCTTTCATCCATGTAAATGGTTTTAAGTCTGACAGCATCCTTCCTTTTTAAACAATGTTAAGTTGTTAACTGTTGTCAGAATGTAATCAAGTGCAAAGAAATATTTATAGCAATTAATACATATTAACCAAGAACTGTTTAGCTGCTCATAAGTGTTTCAGTGTAGTGTCCATGTGGCAGGAATAAATCTGAAGTTAGATTTGATAGAGGAATACTGTTTTCACGAAGACTGTACATATGTGGTTGGGCAATTCTGCTGAAGATTATGTTCGATGCAAACAAGTGAAGATCTTTTTTGTGTTTATCTAATGATTTGTGATCAGTTCTAACATAAATATCCAAATTATCTCCAGTCACTTTAATGATTGGATTGTTTTTCAGCTCTGACACAATACCAAGATCACTTCCATTTCCAGCTTCATCAAGGACGGGTTTTGTGATTTGTGACCAGTTTTTCCCAGACTGTCAATAACATGTATCAAATGTGTTTGAAAAATGTATGCTGAATTAACTTTCCACAAACACTTTCTACATATCCCAAATAATTAAGATGAGTATTGTGAACAAAAATCTTCATAAATTTTCCCAGATAATTTATTTAACTTGTTAATAAGTTTGTTCTCAGCAGCTTTCCTCCCGTTCAAACCGTACAAAACATTTGTTTTTGCAACAAATGAGACAATTATCTTATTTTTATTTCATGCTTTCCAGAGTTTTACTGCAATATATCAGATGATTACATTCTGATAAACCACCAGTGAAAATTATATAATAAAATTTTCACTGTAGACATGTTCCTGAGAAGAATATCATAACTACATGAAATAACAGGCAAAAATAGATTTTGTTATATGTAAATTAGGAAAATTAGCTTAATTAAGAATAGAAAGTCGATATTATCAAACATCATGTTTAAAATGTAACAAAATTAGAGAAATTTAACAGAACTATATTTCAAAATTAATAATGTGATGTCATGATGTGATGACATCATAAAAGAGGAATATGTGACGTTACGCGGCAAAATTGATTAGAAAATACTTAAAATCACTTAAACAGCATGAAATAAAAAGAAAATTTGTTTGCTTTGTGTGTGAGATTGAAATATATTTCATCGGTGAACACCAGCTATTCAATTTACACTTGGTGCTACACCAAGTGAAAAAATTGCATCTGGTATTCACTCAGTGTAATATATTTCGATCTTACATGAAAAATAAACAATTATTACTATATATAGTAACAAGTGTATTAATGAAAGAAAATCTTCATTAAATGAACAGTTTATAGATCGGACAATAAAACCACCAAATTTATTAAAGAAATTAGCAGAAAAGCGATCAGATAAAGGACTTTTATCATATTTTAAAGTACACGTATCTCTAATTTCATTAAAATAAATAAGGCCTACAAGAGAATATGAAATCTTGGAACTTAACTAGGGAATATCAGTATTATTTTCTAGAAAAGTTGTGTTGATTTATGATTATCTTTCTGTTAACAAATACAAGTAATAAGTTTTTAGAAACTTTGATTATCCCAACAAATATGAAGTATGTATCAAAACACAAAACACTTTGCCTTTGTTGTCACACTGACAAAACAAAGTTTTCACAAGTATTAACAAGTATCTAAGGAGAATGGTACATACATTACATCAAATTCACCTTCTAATTCAAACATTTCACACAGAAAGAACAACAACTCTCTTTCTTGTCTGACTTTGTGAAACCAAATGGCGCAAGAAGCATTTCACGAAGACATTTATTGTTATTTTTGCAATACTCAAGTATATCTTCCTGAATTCCTGGAATGTTCTTTGCTACATCTCTATTGTTATAATAAAGAATTGCTTTACTTTTCTGACCTCTTCTACCTGCTCTGCCTATTTCCTGTAGATACTGGGACATATTCCGAGGGGGTCTAGCATGAATTACCCTTTCAACACTTGGGGGATCAAATCCCATACCAGCAACAGAAGATGTAAGCACAAGTCTTATTCGTGGCTTTTCTGATCTAAGGTCTTCAATGGTAGTTTGTATAACAGTCTTGTCTTGCCTTGAATATAGTACTGCATAGCTGGAGGTTGTAATGTCAACTGTCCCAAACAGGTGCTTAAGATAAGCTGCAGATATACTAATGTAATATAGGGGCATAAACATTAATGTAATTGGGTATGTAGTTGGGGATCTATGAAGACTTTCACATTCCTTTTTAAAAATATCTTCATAAATTTCCATTGAATCTGTACTTTTAATTTTGACGACTTTTTCTAAAAAAATATTGCTACGATCAGGACTGTCTTGAACTATGACTGGATTTTTCAAGCTCAGCAATTCCGGAAGTTTTTTCATTTGTTTTCTGGTTAATGTTCCACTTAATGCAAGGAATGGTATGTTCTCAAATATTGCAGGAAGGGTTCTCAATTTGCTAAATGCTGTTCGAAATTCTTGTCCCCTGCAAATGCATGAAATTAGTGACTATATTATTATTAAATTATCAGACTGAAGTTATTCATGCAAATTTTAACTGTAAGAGTGAAAGTAGGTTTTAAGCATGAATCGCTTGATTTCATTATGAGAGTTGAAGCATATTTCGTACACACATAGTTTTATTACTATTGAAATTTAAAGAAATTATACAACAAGGTCATTCAAAAAAAAGAAAAGAAAAAAAGAAAAGAAAAAAAAAAGAAAATGAAAAAAAAACTTGCTTCTAGATTCTACAGTAGTGTACTTTGAACATACCAAAAGAAAACAACTCTGTACTGTAGAAGTTACTTTACAGTAGAAATTCAGACAGACATTACAAAGTATTAAAGTATTTTTTTTAGGTAAATGCTACTATTACATATACCAAGTGTATTAAAGAATTTAACTTGGTTCATCCTACACTTAAAGTCAGCTTTGTCAATTTTATGTAAAGGACTTGCATGTATATTTGGAAAACCATCACATTTCCTATTTTCAACCTTGCGAAAAGGTAGAGATAAGCGGAGGGATTTACTTATTTCTTTTTCGTCTTTCTCAGCCTTTGGGGTATCAGTGCAGTGATTTTTCTACTTATATAACAGACTCCGAAAAAAGGCCTCTTCCAAATTGAAATTTTCTTTAAAATCATGCAGTTTTCCCAAAAATGTGAACTTAAACCAGCTTTTTTGCTTCCCAAATCAGCAATTTTAGAGATAATTTTTCCCAAAATCAAGAGGCTAAGGCCTCTTCCCAATTAAGTGAGAAAAATCACTGCAGTGTTTTTTTTACTTTTGGGGGAATGGGGTCGGTGCCCATTGGAGGGGGAAAAATGCAATAGGAAGGGGATTTTTATACGGATCTAAAATATTGATGTGTCACATGACAAACTTGTTGGGATTACCTATATGAAAAACCTTGCTTATCATTAAGTCTTACAGGCATAAAATAAAGCATTTTTCGGCAGTTAGTTGCAAAAAATGATATTTATTGCATGCAAACTTGGGCTGCCATATTTTGGGGGAAATTTCAGCTTTGAGGGGGAAAAAAAACATACTATTTTGAGTGGGGAATGGGGAGAATTTAGCCGAATATTTTGGTGAAAAAAAAAACACTGGGTATGGTGCCGTGTTGCTTTCTTTTTCAATGACACAGAGGAATCAACTTTTTCACATATTTCTGACATAACATCTGCTGCTTTTGTACAACGGGAAATTGCTTTTTCAGTCTTATTAGCTCCTAGGCTTATTATCAGATCTTTTGGATTCCTTACAGAATTCTCCTGCACCAGGTCTGTTTCAATGTTGTTGCCAATTCCCTCTCTGAGATTGGTAAAAGCCCCCTCTAAAACCCATATTCTTTGTAATGGAGACAGCATGTATTCAGCTTTCATCATAAAGTCAATTAATTCCACAAAATATTTTGATAATCTTGAATATAACATCTGCTGATTTTGTAAAACGGGAAATTGCTTTTTCAGTCCCAGATTATACCATAAATAATATAATGTCTGTTTACACAAATAAAACAATCTTTATACTGAGCATCATTTTATGATTTCTTTGTTGATAACAGATAGGTTTTTCCTGTGTATAGAACTAAAAATTACTGAGGAAATGTTGATTAAAATTCATTCACGCCAGTTTAGTCTTAAGCCCCACAGTAATACATAAAACAGGATTTGGTTTCAAATCTCCAAATGACATAACTTTTGCATAAATTTTACCCACCATTCTTCAACAATATGGCACTCATCAATAACAACTGCAGCAACATTTTCCAGAAACACAGAATCAATCAAAAGGTCTTTTCCAGAGTTTGTGTTCAATAGTGCTTCTGGGTGAGCAAAAACAATTGAAAATTCACCATTTCTTATACCCTGAATGAATTCTCTTTGTTCTATTTCAGAATGACCATCTTCGTCGAAATATGACAGTTTGCATGAACTAATATTGTGCCGTTTCAACACATCCATCTGTTCACTCTGAATAATATTAAGTGGTGATATAACTATGACAACTGGCTTTTCATACTTTCCGACATCCCGTATTAAGTCTGGTAAAACTTGATAAATCAGACTTTTGCCATAACCAACTGGTAGGGTCACGATCACATGCTTCCCTGCAAGAACGTGCTCCCAGCATTCAACTTGTTTTGGTTTTGCCTTTAATTTTGGATCAAAATGTTCCACAGCTTTATGGATTGCAAGCATTCTTGTTCCTACATTCATATTACTTTTAGTTACATTTATGGTCGATCATATCCGCTGAAAAGAAGTCCAAAGCTTGTACTACACCATTTCTTTGTATTTGATAAATTACTCAGAGTCTCTTGACAGGTCTGAGAGTGGATGGTCTGGGAACAGAATCCTGCAGAAAAAAAGAGAAAGAAAATTTTTTATTATATTTTACCCATGAAATATGGTGCTATATCAGTCAAATAAATTTTATATTTTTTAAAAATAAATATGAAATATAAATATGAAAGTGGGCGGAGTCAAAACTTATATTTATTTTCGCCATTTTGTTTGAAAAATCTGAAAAAATCACAACAACTTTTTGTTGACTTTTGTTTTGAAAACTATCTAGAATGATAGAAAATGGTTTAAGAAAATAAATCCGAAAACCAATATCTTTAATTAATGAGTTGTTTACGTGAAGTTAGAATGTAGCGCTAAATATCTCATGCAAAACAAGACAATAATTATATTACTGCACGCTGTACAATTGCAGTTGCGTAGCAAGCAATGGGGTTGGTAATCATTTTTCTTTAATAATGAAATCAAAGAAAAAGGTTATTTTGTCGTTTTTCGTGAAAAATGGAATATATTTTCACGAAACATGATAAAATGCCATATATTTTCAATCGCCGCCACAGCTTGTGAAAATATATGGCATTTTATCATGTTTCGTGAAAATATATTCCATATTTCACTTTGAAAACGAAAAAATATCCTTATAATATACCTTGTGCAGTTTTCATATAAGGCCATCCTTAAAAAAATGTTTGTTTGCAGTAACGAGACCGACTCACAAAATTTGCCCCTACTCAAAATTTTTTTTCATGGTCTGGATAAATTATTTTTATTTTTTTTAATCAGAAAATTATGCCTTGTGCTTTGTTTTTGTTCTTTTAAAGGTAAATAGAAGAAATAAAATGTAGGTCTTATTAATTAGAATTCAGTTATCAATTTATTAATTGTTACCAGATTATCAAAGCATATTTGTTCAGCATTTTGAAATTCCATGTTTATTTTCAATAAAAAAAAAAAAAAAATCGACATACCTACCCACCTTGAAAACAAACATTTTTTTAAGGATGGCCTAAAATTTTAATTTTCATATACATGTATTATGTATACTTTAAATTCAGTTCCAATTTGCTTCAAAATTGAAAATTCCTTTCCATGTACCTGCCTCACTCTTGTGTAAATACATTTGTATCTTATTACATAGCGTGAAGGGAGTCCTACATTAATTTTGTATCTATACATACTGACAAAAGACCACAAGACACAATGTTTGAGATTACTTGTCACACTCGCCCAGGGATCGAATCAGTGGTATTAACCCTTGAATTACAAAACCTATAATTTTAAACTATTGAGCTAAGCAAGCTAGCATGAAAGGGTAATATTGAAAACATTACTTGGTCATTGAGTCTAGGGGTTATTTTCCTCTCAATTGCACATGTTAAGTAACAAGTACCAAGATGTAACTGGAAAAGTTAAAGGGGTGTTTAAGCAACATCATGACTTCATTATGCTAGTTGGTACTTATACGATAAATATTTCAAATGTTTATTCTTTGATGTTATTATGCAATAAAATATCAATATTATATATTAAAAAAAACTAGAAAAAAAAAAAAAAAAATCAGTTATATCATTATAGACAAGGTACGGTATAGATGGATACCAAAAATAAGCTATTTTCACGAAAATAGGATCGCGTCTACTAAAATAAGATTTATTTTTGAAATAGTGCATTTTTCTGTTTAATTAATTATGTTAATTATATATTTATCCATTATGTGTATGTCCGTTCTCGGTGTCAAAATATTCAACGGTTGGTAATATCGTCAAATAATTGAACTTCTGCAGGGTTCGAATTTAAGCTGGCATACTGGCAAAATGCCAGTTAAAATATGATAATGCCAGTAAAAATTACTCTAGCTTGCATTTATTTGCAAGTGATTGTTCAATTTGGACGTTTACATAATTTTTTTTCTTCTGAGCTGATGATGATGCTTGGCATATGCCCCCTGCTGTAACGGATGATGTTTACCTTAAAACTTATATTTTATATAAATCAATTTTTGATTGCTCTATTTATTTTTTCTTTGACTATATTTTGATGGACTTTTTATAACAGCCAAACACTTTTGATTAGAGCAGCCAAGATGTTTTATCAGGGTCCAATGTAAATGTGTAGCACTCATCTGTAAAGTGTTTACTTTTAAGCTGAAATATTTATTTATTATAAGCAGATCAGAACCTCTGAGTTTTCAGGCTGTTGATGTAATCAAGTACAAAATATGCTAAAATTAAGATCCTAAGAAATAACCAGATAACATAACATGAACAAGTTTATAACTGTATGTTGTCACCACTGGGTGTTCCTAGATGGTATATCTAATAGTCTGATCCCTAAACAATTGTTTATCATTTATGGCCGATCATTTATAAATTAATTTGTTGAAATGTTTTTGTTTCGTTACAAGAAGACATCTGTGTTTACCAGTGATAAAGATGTTTCTGATATTCAATAGACATTCAAGCTTATTATCATTTGTCATATCAGATTTTCAAAATTCATTGTCAATAAAAATAATAATAAAATACGTGAACATGGAAATGCTAGTTGACTGCCTCATATTGCCAGTTAAACATTTGATCACTTGCAAAAATCTGCAAGTAGAAAATCTTGCTAAATTCTAACCCTGGTCTGTGAATAAGCCCATATATTAATTAGATCTATTTGGTTCCAACAATAAAGAATGATAAAAACAAACCAATATATTGAAAAGTGGGCCGAGTTGACCCGTTCCGAGTTGGAATAGGGCCGAGCAGACTTGGGGCCGAGTACGTTTTTGCCTTTGATTCCATAAAAAATATTCATTATTGACTTTTAAATGAATAACCGGCATTCAATTTACATATCAAATTTAACTGACAATGTCTAACAGTATCAATTCATATTCTTTACCGCAAATATCGCACAATCAAGTTTCTTCCTAACTTTACAACGTGCCATGACTGTCGGTTCCAGCGTCCCAGACGGCCAGAGCAAGCGCACGCGGGACGATTTTCGATATTTTTTTTTTTTTTTCATTAAATTTCAAAAATCTTTTAGCGACAAGTTATCATTTTATTATATATATATAAAAATATATTACAATCAAAATAATTTTTCTGAATTAATTTTTATCCAAAATTGGATATTTAAAAAACTTGTGATGGCAGTGGTCTGTGTAGCGAAGCGAAGGGAGACAACTGCGTCGGTT